TCCTCCACCCAGGAACCAGAGTGCTCTTCCAGGAATGCAAATCCAATTAGGTTAGTCCTGCTTTAATACCTTCAATGGCTCTCACTTCCATCATGCAGAAGTCTGAGCTCTTTGTGTGACAAGGGCCTTATGATCTGGTTCCTGATTACCTTCCTCATTACACACTTGTCATTTTCTGGATGCTCGGCAGTACCAGTGTGGGCTCCAGTGCCCTGTGCTAGCAGCAACAGTGAGACAGATGGCAGCATTTGGAACTCAGACAAGGTGGCAATTGGTGTTCTCATCAGACTACTCATTTGAGACATTTTTTCTTACTGATAAAAAATATTTTTAAATTGATTAGACTCATAAGAACACACTGCTCAATAATTCTTAGTGTTAAAAATTCCTGCTATGTGGGGCTGGGTCTGTACCTCAGTGGCAGAGCATTTGCCAAGGATGTGTAAGGTACTGGGTTCGATCCTTAGCACCAGATAAAAATGAAACAAATAAAACAAGCCATGTTGTCCATCTACAACTATATTAAAAAAAATTTAAATTCCTGCTTTGCAAAAATTGCTGAGTATTGCTTTCTTTCAACATTTTGGCATCAAGGATACTTTGTGTGTAAATATTTTTTTCTCATTACTAAGGGACACTAGATAATTCCTGATAAAAGAAAATTGGTATGATCAAGGATTAATATCTTTAATTTATCTTATTTAAGTCTTAAAATAATTAAGAAAAAAGACATATCACATCAGAAAAGATAGGTAATAGATTTGAACAAGCAATCATCAAAAAAATATAAATGGACAAAAATATGTGAAAAATGTTAAGCCTCAATAATAAATAAAAGGTCAATTTTAAATATATTTCATCATTCAGGTTTAAAAATAATAATAGTAAATACTCATTGAGACTATATTTCACTTTTAAAGTCTTTTATAAGTAATAGCTCTTGAAATAATACTATGTAATTAGTATATCTATTATAAAGATAAGGAAACTGAGGCTCAAAGACTTTAAATACTTAAATAATAGCAACCACTAAATAAATGCTGTAGGGCTAAGTGGTACATTATAATTTCAGTGGTAGCACAGGTACCAGGCCCTGGGTTCAATACCCAGCATTAAAAATAAATAAAAGATGGGGCTGGGGATGTAGCTCAAGTGGTAGCACACTTGCCTGGCATGCGTGCAGCCCAGGTTTGATCTTCAGCACCACATACAAACAAAGATGTTGTGTCTGCCGAAAAACTAAAAAAAAATATATATATATATATTTAAAAATTCTCAAGAAAGAAAGAAAGAAAGAAAGAAAGAAAGAAAGAAAGAAAGAAAGAAAGAAAGAAAGAAAGAAAGAAAAGAGCTAGGCATTGTAGTGCATGCCTATAATTCCAGTGGCTCGGGAGGTTGAGGCAGAAGGATCTCAAGTTCAAAGCGAGGCTCAGCAATTTAGCAAATCCCTAAGCAATTGTTAGACCCTGATATAAATATAATATAAAAAGGGCTGGGGGTGTGTCTCCATGGGTAAGTGCCCCAGGTTCAATCCCTAGAGCCAAAAACAAAAGAAAAAAGAAAAGAAAGGGGAAAAGAGATTAATTACAGGAAAATCATGTCATTCCATGGAAAAACATTCAAGACAAATCACTGAACCAGAAGCTTACAAATCATTATGCACAGTGGATCTCTTTTGGTTGGGGGTGGGGATATATAAGCAGAGAGGGCAAAAAGAACACTTTAGAAAGATACTTACCAAAATATTATCTCTGTGTGATGAAATTGGGAGTGATTTTTACTTTTTTCTCTTACTTAACTACTTTCTAGTTTTCTTACAATAGACTTACACATTTGCATTAAGAGAGAAAAATTCATCACAGTTACCTAAAAGAGAAAACTGAAAGTCAAAGTAGGATTCCTACCACTTTTGCCTTCTAGTAAAATGAGAATAAAGTATTATAATTCTTTGAAGTCTGGAGAACAATTTAAGAATAATGGCCATTAAGAGGGCTGGGGGAGGCAGGGGCAGACATATAATGATATAGTCAGGAGCAAATTAAAAACAGGAATCCCATGGATATTGAAATGAGAATCACATGATTTGGCTATAGATCCAAGATGGTTTGAAGGTCAATTTTGCAGAAATTCCTGGATTTTTACTCCAACATTCCCTCATTACACACAGCTTCTCCATGTGTCTATCACTCTGGTCCCCCTGAATTGCTGTTTCTCACACTGTCCATTATTTCTGCCTCAAAGTTTCAGTTCACTCACAGATTAGGCTTCTCATTTTTTCAATATCATAGGATGAGATAGCAGAAAGTGGGAGATAATGTCTATACAGGTTTAGAAGCTTTCCAAATCAGGATGTTTGAGGATCCAGTGGTTTTCAGCATGCCAGGACAGCCACCTCCAAAGTCAAGGACAAGTTTTTCCACAAAACATATACTCTTACTAAGAAAAAAGTACCTCTTTGTCAGTCTCTGGATCCCAGAGGCAATGCATACCCCGTTTGGAAACACTGCTCTGACCTACTTATGGGGTGATTCATAAAGGTACCAGTTTTTTGGTTTGTTTTTTTTTTTGTGTGTGTGTGTGTGTGTGTGTCTGTGTGTGGTGCTGGCGATCAAAACCAGGGCCTCATACGTGTCAGACAAGCACTCTATCATGGAGCTATACCCCCAGCCAAGCTACAAGTTTTAAATGGAGCCCAACACTCCAGGAATTTGTGGTATAGCTGGATGTTGCTTAGAGTCTCTTGCAAATAGTATAGTTGCCGTGCAGGCTTCTAAGATTCTGAAGAAAGATCATGCCTTCTGCAGAAGAGAACAATTCACCATTCTAAAAGCAGCTGGGCATCCACCATACCAAGTAACCATTCAACAAAAGCTCTCCACCATGATCTGCATTTCAGAAGCACTGAGTCATGATGGCAGGTGGACATAGCACAAGTGAGTACAGGTAAACCTACTGAAGACTAAGCTAAGGTGTCTGCTTGGGGACATCCTGCAGAGTTGGCCATGTGGATGCAATGGTCATAGATACAGTGCTATGCCCTAACAGCTAGGACGCCTGAGTCTGAGAACCAAGAAAAGTAGGATTGGCTCCTTTTGCCATCCCAATGTACACTTGTGGAATGTGTACTTCACTTCTCCATGAATTTTGTTTTGCTACTTAAGAAGTTCCAGCATGGTGGAACATGGGGAGAACACAGTTGTGCCAGGGAAGCAAAAAATCTGAAGCTATGACTACCTACTGGTTATCTGGGGGCTTCTTCTTATGTCTGGGAAAGAAGACCATACGTTTCCATATTGGTATCAGTGACACTAATTACAAGGAGCCAGAGTAACTGCTACACAATGGGGATAGGAAGATCCCTTCCTGTCTGGAGACCAAGGGATTCACTGGAGTATCTTGATGCATGACCAATTTATCAGACAATCAAACTTTGCATCCAGGCAAACTATAAACAGGAGATTGCTACAACAAAGGCCTGATGATGAGTAGAATAACTAAGGTTCTGGTCTTTGGAAATGAAGGTCTTGGTGACTTCTTCAGGCAAGCAATCTAGATCTGCTAAAGTGATGACCAAGAAAGGGACATGGTTGGGGGAAAGGGGCCAGTAGCAATAGTGTGGACTGTAGCTTGTTTCTCCTACATTGTTCTGTAGATTCTATCTAGCCATCACCTTCGAGGACATATTATAGTTTGGATTTTATGCACAAACAGATCTAAATAGTCAATGGAATAAAGAATCATATACCTGTGTGCCTGCCTCACAACCACTTGATCTGTCTTTTGACTCCTGTTATGGCTGCCACTATTAGTTGCCTGCAGGTGTGACCTGACAATACTTTATCTCAGATGCACAGCCCATCACCTTGCTTTCTGCCCTAAGCTTTCTTCCTCTTCCACATTTGCCTGGAAGAACCATTTTAGAGACTGGGATGTGGTTCAGTGGCAAAATGTTGGAAGGAAAGGACTCTACATTCTACAGGTCTCCTCAGAGGTCCCTTGTGGGAGCCTGTTCTTCTCAGAGGTAAGAGGTCAACAGCACACATTTGATGGGCTTTCCCTCCTTCCATGTTTCACTCTTCCCAGTCTCCCACTCCTGTTCTTTCAGATCCTAAGCTACGTGAATACAAGCCTCTCTGGCTTTGTTTTTTAGTATAATAAAGGCTAATACCAGAATCAAATGAGAATAGAGTATATATGCTTTGAAAGTTAAAAACCAATATACTCATGTAAATCATCCCTACAAAGTATACCGTTCATCTACAGTACTTGACTTTACTATCTTTACGGATGAAATTGTCATCATACTGTTTCAGGACTTAACTATAAAGCAGGGAGTAGCTGTTATTTTATTAGCACTGTTATTTTATTTTCATGTTCCTAATCTTTTGAGGTAGTGATTATTACTATCACCAGGCTGTAGATGAGGAAACAGAAGCCCAGAATTCCAACTGCTAAATTTAAATTGTGTCTTCTAACTCAGATCTGACCTCCAAAGCCCAATGACCAATGTATTTTTGTTCCTCACCATGACCTCCACCCTCCATCTTCTCACCCCACTGAGGCTGCTCCAGTCCAGCCATATTCCTACATACTTTGCCCTTTTGTGCTCTTGTTTTGTTTTATGAACTTAAACCCAGGTCAAATGTCGTTTTCCTAAATTCAAACAGAGCTATTTCCTTATCAGTTTACCTTTATCATTTTCCCTGAATATCTTTTAAACTGTTGTTACTTTTCCTTTGCAGTATAACTGGGACCAGACAAGGAGTTAGGTATGAAGTGGTACCAAACACATAAGCTAATTCAAGTAATAACTGCTCAATGAACAGTTGTGAGTATATACTCCTTAAGCACAGATACTAAGTCTGTCCTACCATGTTGTATTCTCAGCATGTAACAGTGATATGGCAGTGATTCCCAGAACAGATACTTTTGCTTCTTTGTTGTTAGGGTATAAGCAAGTTTTAACACTGAATCAAAATAATGCCAAGAAAGAGAAACTATTTAATGATTATTAGAAGATTTATTAAGCAAGAATATATTAGTCATCATTCCCAGACTTAATAGGAGATATTAAATTTTCGGTCCAATTTTCCTTCCTGGATAAGTTTTTCCTTCCTATCCTGTATAGACAGAAAAAAAAAAAGTACATTAAAAACAATGCATTCTGGAATGACTCATGGTACAATTCTGAAAATCAGAATAAAATACTCCAAACTTAATTGCAGTCCCATCATCTAAAGTTCAAGGAGTGGGAGGAAGTAGTAAGCTGACGAATTAAAGAGAGAACAAGAAATTGCTCCTACTCAAAAATTTCCTTACCCACATTTCAGGAATTAGAAATAAATTACCCCACTAAAAAGCATATATTGAAAACAAAACCAAACACCTCATGGGAAAGAGTGACCAATTTATCACACAATCAAAAGACATGAACTCTGATAGAGAATGGGCTGGCCAACTTAAAACAATGGTAAATTGAATGGGCTCCAGTCCAGATGGCATCACGAGGCCTGGGGGCTGTGGCTCAGGGTCCAGAGCCAGGAGTAAGTGGTCTAGTGCCCAGAGGTAAGCTTAGCTTTCTCTGCAATCATACACATAGGCCTCTCAGCGCAGTGATTCCCAGCCCAGGCTGCCTATGCTTCTCTGTTGTTAGGGTTATCAACATGTTTTAACATTAATTCACAAAATATGACCAATATAAAGAGAATTCATGCCAAAGGGGAACATGCTACATGATTTATGTATTCTGCTGATACTTGACCCAATAAATCTCTCTTTTAAGACAAATGAACAAATAAACTAAATGAAGATTTTGCAAAGGTATCTTAAAGTTAATCACAAAAGTTTAGTTTATACATATCTTGTAATGAAAAAAAAATTTAACTTTAAAAAAGTTATTTCAGGGGGCCGGGGTTAGGGCTTGTAGAGTGCTTGTCTAGCATGTGTGAGGCACTGGGTTCAATCCCCGGCACCATATAAAAATTGACAAATACAATAAAGGTATTGTGTCCATCTACAGCTAAAAAAAATATTTTAAAAAAAGTTATTTCAGTATTCTTTTGCTTAACAATCACAGTAAGGTCCTTATGTTATCTAAAAACCACTTCATGAGCTAAGGTCAAGTTTTAGAAATTTAAATTGGCCATTTGAGTAGTCATTAAATCAAATCTGAAATGCCTAGAGGCTACCATGATTTTTAACAAAGTACACTTATATTGATATACAAACAACAAAGCAATAAAACTAAACATATAATTGAAAACTTCCTATTTTAACTCTTACTGGAAAGGAATAAAGATAAAAGAAGAAAGGGAAAGAAGAGTTCAGGGCTAAAGTGGAAGGGGCACTGGTGGCAATATTAGGAGCTGTAGCTGGTATCTACCAAAGGAACCTATCACACTAATAACAAACATCTGGTTCTCATACTTACTCTATCAGTTTTAAAAACATAATACCAGAAGAAGAGGGGTCCAATTCCAAACAGAGCTCCTAAGAGTGAGTTCTTGGGAGTGGGTCTGAAATTTGGATAGATATTTGCTGATCTTGCGTAGGTCCAACGAATTAAGGCAGGATCTTCCTGAAATAAATGAAAACAAATATTATAAAACTTGGGTGATACTACGAAACAAATTCATCAGGATTTCTGTGAAGGAGCATAGAAGATGTCTTTCGTTCTCCACAACAGTTAAGGATACACCCTTAAAGATCTAAAGACCTAAAGATCTTTCCTTTCTAGCTATTTTTAAAATAATACTGATAATCCTATTCAAATCCTTCAGAATTTAAAAAGATTCTTAACATCCTTAGCTTTCTATTTATTTAAGATTTAAGAATCCTTATCTTTCAAACTATCATGAAGCCACTTTTTCTCCCTTATTAGTTTTATCTATTGTTCTCTAAACTATTTTCAGCTTCATTATCTTTCTTGAAGTATGACTATCAAAACCACACAGAATTCCCATGGTGCGTGAAGACAGGCAGATTTCATACCTTAGAATGTATTACACTGAGCTCAAACATCCCTTTGAACCTGTATATTATGTCCTCACCCTCTTCACTATTTTTGCACTACAGGCAAAGTAATGAACACTGCTGTAGAACGCTATTATATTTGCTTTCATCTTATATGGTGTGATAATATTAATAGTTTCTAGAGCAGCAGAAGGTATTTTTGAACTTCTGAGTCAAGTGAGTGTTCACACCCTGAAGATTTCAATCTGATTGAAAGGAAGAGGAGCTGAAAGGTGATAAGGGAAGTATCAAGCTTTGAATTTTGTCTAGGAACTTTCTTAGTGCCATTCCAATACTGATCTTCCCAGGCTACAAATAAGCTGCAGGAAGACGAAGGCAAAAATAGGTTAACTGAAATATAAGTTTTTAAACTGATATTTTAAAAGCAAAATTAGTGTATTTCACACTATTAAAAGTTTTATAGAAAGGTCAAAGTTGTTAAAGAAAAATAATCAGCTTGTCTTGGTTAAAAGAAAGACAGGTAATTGCCCATTGTAACATATTTTATATTAGAATAACTACCTAAGAATAGCAAACCTACCCAAACACATAATTAAATTTAATTAGCTCAATCCTCAAATGATTTTACAAAATTATTCTCTCCAATTAACTGAACATTCAGGGTCCTAACTAACATTAAGTCACAAGTGGTATGACTAAAATAATTTAACTGGGTCTTCTACAGTCAAACCAAACTGAATTACAGCAATTTTACCCTGAGATAATCAGCTAGAGCTGGAAATAAAAAAAACTTTTGGTAAAAATGCTCCCCTTGCTTTCAATCAGGCTGAAATTCCTTCAGGGTGCGAACACTCACTACTAGACTCAAAATCCAAAAATACCTTCTGCTGCTCTAGAAACTATTAATATTATCACACCATATTAAAATGAAAGCAAACACAACAGCATTTTGCTGCAGTGTTCATTACTATGCCTATAGTGTGAACAGAAACAGTAAAGAGGGTAAAGACACAAAATACAGGTTCAAAGGGATATTGGAGCTTGACACATGAAAGATAAATACATCTGTTCTTCTATCACTTCTGCTATAAAAGCATTTGAATGATGATCTAGCAACAGACATCTCAACCTGCCAGCCACCTTTTTATGCTTTAATATCTGCCTGCCAGATATGTCTTCCATAAACAGACATTTTTTTTATAAAGACATTAACTGCCTTATGACCATGGTTCATTAGGTGCAGTACTATTATTAAGAGAGATTAAGAGATGTTCTAAAAGACACATCCTGGGTAACAGCTTTCCTTCTGTGACACTGCTCATCATCCAATGGAGTTTCAGCAGCATTTGACATAGTGAATAGTCCTTGAAACTATTTCTTCCCTTGACTTCCAGGGTCCACACCTGCTTAATTTTCCTCCTAACTGGCCATTCTCTCTTCATCTCTTTTGCTCTTTTTTTTGCATGTCCCCAATACAGTAGTACCTTGCTGGTCTTTCCTAACTACATTCACTCCATTAATATTATCCAGCCACATGACTTTCATAGCTATCCATAGGCTAATAATTCCCAAAATTATACCCCTAGCCCTAGACTGCTACCCTGAACTCCAGTCTTAATATCCAATTACCTATACACTGACCTACTGTCAAACAGACATCTCGAATGTCACTCATCCCAAACCGATTCTATAATATTCAATTCCATCTCTATACTAGTTCCTTCTCTATCCTTTAAAAGGCAACTTCATTCTTCTAATTGCTTAGGTCTTCCTGGACTTCTCCCTTTCTCTCATATACCACATATAATCTGTCAGCAAAACTGTTTGGCTCTATTTTTAAAACCTATCCAGAATCAACCACTACTTACCATCTCCACTGCCACTATCCTGCTAGCAACTATAAATTAAGACATTCAGTTACTCCTAACTCATCTTTCTGTTCCTGCCCTTGCTTCCCCATATTCAATTCTCAACTAAGCAACTAGAGAGAGCTTGTTAAAATCTAAATCCCAGATTATGTTACTCCCTTCTCAGTAGAAATCTTTACAAGCCTGATGTGACCTAGTCCCAGGTACCTCTCTGACCTCATCTTTTCCACTCAGCCATCATCCTTCTCTACTTAAGCAATTTGGGGTGGGGGTGGGGTGAGGTGGGGTACTGCGAATTGAACCCAAAGGTACTTTGCCACTGAGCTACATCTCCAGGCTTTCTTATTTTTATAGTTTTGATACAGAATCTTGCTAAATCACTGAATTTGTGATTCTCCTGCCTTAGCATCCAGATTCACTAGGACAACATTTTTTGAATTAGCCAGGACACTCCTGCCTAAGAGCCTTGTATTTATCATCCTCACTAACTAGCATGCTACTTCCTACATGAGGTTAGTTCCCTGGCCTTAATTTTATCAGATCTTCATTCAAAATGTTACATTCCAAGCAGCTGTTTATCCTTCCTGCTATATCTGAGTGGAGTCTAATCCCCTCACCATCTTTCTTTTCATACCACTTATGACTATTTAATATGTTAAATTATTTCATTTTTTAACTTGCTTATTACCACTTACTTGCTCTACCACTGGAAAGAAAGATCTTTGGACACGATTTTTTGCTGGCTTTGTCCTCCTGTTACCTCAGCATCTAAAACAGGCCCATAAAAGACCCTGGCAATTATTCACTGACTAAATCAATTATTCCTAAATGCCTAAAGATTAGGAAAGAGAATTTACAGGTATTGATTAATGAGTATGCCACATATTCAATTAACAAAACAACTAAAGAGACAGGTATTACTATTTCTATTTTACAGATGAGAAAACTAAAACAGCCCTGGATCATAGAGCTGGAAAAGAGAAAATCTAGGGTTCATCTTTTTTTTATTTTATTTCTTGTTTTAGTATGTACTAACATCAAACTCAATTATGTGCACATGTACATAACAGATGTGCTTTTCTGAACCTTCTTCCAAGTAGACAAATTCTGGCGGGAAAGAGTACCGCTAACTAGGTAAAAGCAAATACTGTGGGTTGCAGAGACCAGAGTTCAAATTCAGCTCTATGACTTGCTAATGGGTATATCTGAATGAGATATGTGTTTTTCCCCTGCTATCATCTCATTTGGAAAAATGGAAGAGTAATAGACCTTAATGCACCGAATAGTTGTGACCACCATTTGAATAAAGAAATATTCAGAAAGGGTTTGGTATAGTGTCTGACACATTGTAATTTTCCTTCAATACTCACAACTTCCAAAAATTTCTATAGAACACCAGTGCAAAAGTCAGGGGCATAGGACCACCGAGTCACATCTCCCACTCTATTTTGTATTTTATTTAGAGACAGGGTCTCACTGAGTTGCTTAGTGCCTCGCAGTTGCTGAGGCTGGTTTCTGACTAGAGATCCTCCTGCCTCAGCCTCCCTAGCCGCTGGGACTACAAGAGTGTGCCACTATGCCTACTAAAAGTCATCTTTTTAGGGCTGGGGATGTGGCTCAAGTGGTAGCGCACTCGCCTGGCATACTTGAGGCACTGGGTTCAATCCTCAGCACCACATAAAAAAATAAAAAAGATATATTTTAAAAAGTCATCTTTTTAAATATCTTGTTTGAAATATTTTGACAGCTCTTGCATAGAAAACTGTGTAAAAGCACACTTGCTAAATAGTAACTATCTACTTACTGGGCATATATTATCCTCTGGAACTGTTACACAAATTATCTCATTTAATCTCAATTCTTTGAAGAATGTACATCATTTCTGTATGAACATTTAAAAAACAAAACACTATGAATTAAAGGGGTTAAATAAGTTGCCCGAAGTCAAGTTTGCCAATGTGCAGTGCCCTGGGGTCTTACTTCTAAAGTCCAAAGCTTCAGGAAGCTGTGGGGTCTTTAAAAAACATAAGATGAAGAATCACTATATTCCCATCAGGAGTGAGCAGTATTCCTACTAATTGTGATCAGAAAGGTATAAAAATACCTTCTTTAATTATACATATATGGCTGTATGTGGAGGGGTCCTGAACACACTTGCTACATGCCAGGCCAGTCACGTGTCTTATTTCATTTAATCTTCAAAACCGCCTGGTGAGAGAGGAAGTAACAGTTATGCCTGTTTTTCAGGTAGGAAAGACGGAGCTATGCAGAGCTCAGCCACTTTCTCAAGATCATCCAGAAGGGAAGTGATCAACCTGACCAAGCTCTCTGGCCAAGGTCAAAGGGCTAAGGAGTCGGCCTGTCTTCGGGGCCTGGAAGAGGGCCCCCGTGTAAAACACGGACTGGGTACGGCGGCCGCCCACCATTTGGTCCCCCTTGGCCTATCTGGGCTGCCCAGTCTGCGGGGACCGTCCAGACTCCGGCCCGAGAGTCCCGCCCGGCCGACCCCCCACTCACGATGAGCCCTCGGCGATTGGGGTCGTTGTACTGAAGCAGATACTCCCGTTTAAGCCGGGCTCTTATGGCCAACCTCTCGGCTTGCGCCTTCCGGGTTTCCGGAGATATGTCGTATTCGGCGGGGTCGAGGGTAGGGGGTAAAGTGGCCAGACGCGAGGGCTTATACTTTGGAAACGACATCTTGGCGCCCTGGCGCAACTGCGCCTGCGTGGCTGAGGCCCGCCCCCGGCAATCGGAAACGCAGCCTCAGGAAGTGCGCCTGCGCGTTACTGGGAACGGAGGGGTGGAGTTTAACCAAAAGCCGGGCTTTGTTCCGGACCTTCCTCCACTTGCGAGCTCTGTATCTGCGATGTGTGCGCGGTGTGCGCATGCGCAGTGTGCAGCTCCCCGTAGCCATCCACCGTCAGTCTTTCCGCTGCGTTTTAGGAGACCTTGGTGAAGGTGACCTGTGAGACTGGCCGGGACAAGGAAACCGGTCTAGCTCTAGCATGCAAAGTCTAGTTTTCGTTGTGGATATAACCATAGTGTGTGACCTTGGAAAAGTCAATGTCTCTGAGTTCCTTTCCCTTATCTTGGGGATAATGATCCCTATTTTATTCATCTAGCAACATTGCGGGCACTAAATAAACTAATGAGTAAATGTCAAAGTGCTTTGTGAAAAGTAATTCCCAATCCAAAATAAAAAGCTTGTCTGTACCTTACCGCGTTAGGTTACACAACATAGTACCACACTTTTCGTAGGAATGAAATAATAGGATGATAAGAACGATATATAGAAGGATTGCTTAAGTGTAGTGCGCGGAAAATGAGGTATTGAATAAAGCTCATGAAGAAACAATGCCTTAAGAGGCTAAAACTTCTTACTGAAACTCCTTAGTACAGTTCGGGTACTAAAAATGAAAGACACCTTTATAGACACGAAGATACAAAAAGGGGCATTGTCTCTCACTGTAAAAGATGGAGTAGCCAGCAAGATGACCTCGCCTGTAATCCCAGCGACTCAGGAGGCTGAGGCAGGATCATTGTGTTACCGCTGTTGACCGGTGACGAGTTCTTGCTCCCCGATGTTGAAGAATTAACACCAAAGAAGCACGCCGAGGCAAGGTCAGAGTAGAAATTAGAAATTTATTAAAGGACAGCAGAAAAGACTTCTCCCGGAGGAAGAAGGGGACCCAAAAGGTGGAATCCGTGGAAGTGCAGTTGTCTCCCCTTTTTATAGTTCTTTCAGTGATGGAATGTAGGTTGGAGGGCCTTAGGGGTGGGACACAGGTGGGCCAAAGAAGTAGTCTGAGCAGGAAGGACTTCATTATCACTTCTTTGTGATGGGCTATCTTCAAATCTGCTGGGGGCTATTCATCAATACTTCTTCCAGGTGGACTTTGGCCTAGGGCCTTTTCGGGACTTCATTAACATTCCATGAGTTGTCCTGTGTTTTCCCTGAGTCATTCCCAGCATGGCCTCCATTTTAGATTTCACTCGATATTAGACCCGATTTACCTAACTACACTAACTACCTAACTTTAAATCTGGCTTCAATTGCAAGTTCGAGGCCAGCTTCAGCAATTTAGGGAGACCCTGTCTCAAAATTTAAAAAGGGCGGAGGATGCAGGTCAGTGAAAAAGTGCCCCTGGTTTCAATCAACAATACAAAAAAAAAAAAAAAAAAGGACGGGGGTGTGGTTAGCATACTAAATGTAACCTTCATTCCTCTACCTCACACCCATCACCAAAGGGAAAAAGAAACAAGTTTTACAGCAGTATCTTTGGACACCAATAAAGATACTCCTCAGGGGAAACAATGTAAACAGTTTTTCCATAATTCAGGCAAGGAAAACTGGATTAAAAGACAGTACAGTTTGGCTGTACTGTCTGGGACATAAAGGTATGTGGAAAATGGTTGCTAGGCAGAGAAGGGAGCTAGAAAGTGTTGGCACTTTAAGTAATGAAGAGCAACACTGCTGTCAAATTTATTCAGCATTTTAATACTGTCTTAAAATATTTATTAAGCACCCACTACGTGAAACATACTGCACACGATTCAGTCAATTTTCTAGGCCCAGTGGGGGAAAGACAGAAGAAATGGAGACTGGGGTATTTGTCTCCCAGGAGCTGACAATCAGTGCAAAAAGAACAGGCAGGAGCAGGTGGTAAAATTCTAAAGACTCCGTAGATACAATGGGGAAAATCTTTTGTTTTAGACCCTGCTCTAGGAAGAGGGGTATTAAAAAGAATAAAAGATAAAGGAAGAAGTACAGTGTGTACAAGTTTGCTGACAAGGTTAAAAAAGATTTCTTAAGAGGGAAAGAGAAACTTTGTTAAAACAAGATCTTTGGATGAATTAAGGTAGTTGGTTATTTGTACACTTTGCTGATTATCATAAGGATCATTTAAGATTATTGTTAAAAATATGGAGTTTTTAAGAAATTCAAAGATCCAATGTTTCCTCTCATGTGGAACTTAGAGTAAAAATAAAGGAAAGGGGGAGGGAAGGATAGGATAACATATAAATTAATAGATGAGTATAAGGAAGTCTAGTAGAGTAGAGGAAGGAGAATAAGAGAAGGGAGAGAGGGGAGAAAGGAGAGAGAAAAGGGAGGATCATGAACTGGAATAGATTTCCATGCATGTATAAGTTTGTCAGAATGAACCCAAGTACTATGTATAACTATAAAACTCTAATAAAAATTTTAAAAACTATGGAGTTTTTTAAACTCATTTCATTCTCCTCTTGGAAATTCATAGGGAACCTAGGAGTCTGTATTTTTTTTCACGTTTCTGGGAGATTCTTAAAATATTGCTATTCTGAATTTTTTTTTAATTTTGCCTCTCCAAATGAACTTTAGAATCAGACTGTCAACATCCACATAATAAATTGCTGAGATGTTTTTTATTTGGATTCCATTGTTATTGTTTTAATTACCTATAAACAATAATTTTTAATTTTATAATTATTTCTTCTACTTTTGCATTTCTTACGTTTTATTATCTTTTTCTAGCTTCTTAAACTGAATGCTTTTCTTATTCATTTTTTGTTTTTATAGTTTGTAATGTGAATATAATTATGTATATTTAGTTACATCTTCATAAATTTTATTAGTATTTTCATTATCATATAGTGTTGAATATTTCATAATTTTCATTATTTTTTAATTCATATATTACTGTGAAATTCATTTCTTGCTTTCCAAAAGATGTTTTTTCCCCCAAAAATATGTTTTAACCATATTTTTATTGTTAATTTATAATTTAATTGCTTTATTGTGAAAGAACTTTGAAAAGAAAACTTTGGTCCTTTGAAATCTGCTTAGATTCTCTTTGGAACTTTATATGTAGTCAGTTTTTTTTTTTTTTTTTTTTTTTGGTCTTTGTATTTTTTTTCACGTTTCTGGGAGATTCTTAAAATATTGCTATTCTGAATTTTTGGGTTGACTTTTTCAAAATACAATATTTTACTGAAATATAATTTTCAGAAAGAAAATGCACAAATCATACATATTCTGTTCAATGAGTTATTACAAAGTACACACACCCTTGTAATTATGAATACTCAGCTTTTATAATACTTCCACATAAACTTTTAAAATATTTTGTGAGTGCAAAGTTAGACAAGATTGGTAATTGTGTGGTTTGGATCTCTTCATATCCTTATTCATTTTGTCTATTTGGTCTAATTCCAATATAGAATTTTACTATAATCTCTTAATGCCATTATGGTTTGTTAATTTTTCCTTGAGCAAGATTAGAGACCTCAGTGTGAATTGAAGGTGATATGGAAATTTTTTAAATGCATGCGTCAGGTCAGTTAATTGTTGTAATCACAAAGACAAAATAATTCCTACATAATGGTTTCATTGTTTCATCCATTTAGTGTGCTGTATACAAACCAACCAGGAGGGAAAAAAAAAGAAAAGAAAAAGATCTCTGCCTAAAAATATACAGTACACTTAGAAACACATCTGTCATGTAGACATATCCAAAAGCTTATGAATATTACATTTTGCATCCCTCTTTTCAGAGACAGTCTTTGCTTCCTATGTTAGCATATATCTGTTCTTATTACTAAAGTCACTTACATAAGTGCATATTTGTACTTGAATGGAGCAATAAGTTTTGAACCTAGTGTAAGGGGACATTTTCTTGGAAGTTTTTAATTTAATATATGATAGGGTCGATCCTCGTAGTTGAGGCTGTAGTTGAGGCTGTAGTTGAGGCCTTAGTTGAGGCTGTAGTTATGCCTTCTTCTTGGTGACCAGATATTGCCCTGTCATCATCTTCTGCTTGGAGAGAGCTCAGCCTCCAGGTTGGTTTTCTCACATGCGTCTACTCTTTCCATATTACCATTTCTTTTCTGTACAGGAGCCAGCGTGCTCTTCTAAAATATACACGATCCTATCACTTCTTATTAAACTGGTACCTGGTTTATGGCACCCCATGCGGTCTGCTTCCTGCCTTCTCAACTACCCTAGACTCCAAGTTCTGTATCACTCTGTGCCCAGAATACACCATCTTCTCTTAGGGCCTGTGCACAGGCCTGTGTTTCCTGTTTATCCTTCAAAACTCAATTCTATAGCTCCTTAACTAACCAACAATGTCAAATCCCTCCATGAACTTTTATAGCACAATAGACCTCTCCTTCATAATACTAATTGCAATCCTAATTTGATCATTTTTATTATTTAGTCAATTCCTGGCCACCCCCACCCCCAGCCGCCACTAACTAGAATGTAGGCTCTTTGAAGACCAGAACCATATCACACTTGGCTTAACCTAGCACAGTATTGGCACATCATACAGTGATGAATGAATAACTAGTTGCCTTTTCTCACCTCAGAATGAGTATATTAACCAAGTGCATCTGCACCCCTCTTTCTGCCTCTGCTTCCATCCCACCTGCACTTCCAGGCCACATACCATATACCACACACATTAGCCCTCAACACTGTCCCCCCACACAACTAATTCAACGTTCAAGTCCAGCACATTGTCCAGAAACATAGATTTTTACCAAAGATTTCAGAATATGCAGAAGAGGAGGAGCATATCACAAAACAAATGCCCTTCACAGTGCCCTTCTAACATCTCTTCTTTGCTGGTAAATTCTTATCTCTCCAGCAATAGGAGCTGTCTCATCCCTTCTTTTGGAGCCCCTCCAGCCAAGCTGCCTCCTCCTTCACCTGCCTCCCAGGGCTCCAGTCCTCACCCACCAAAACAAAGCCCTGCCATAGGCCAGGCCATGACTCCTG